TCGACCGTCACTTTTTGGCCAACCCCCTCCCCCCCCTAAACGTACTACGTAATTTGTGCACGCCGCCTTACTACGAGTTTGGTGGTCTGAAAGATACCAGACGACAACAACAGCCTCTCTCACAATCCGTGCAGAAAAAAATTATATGTCAGAAGTGGGATTTGAACCCACGCCCACAGACGTGGACCAGAACACTCGACCCGCTGTGCGGGTAAGGAACAACCTTGAGTCTGGCGCCTTAGACCGCTCGGCCATCCTGACTGTGTGGAGGAAGGGACGATCGTGAGCCATCAGCCACCAAGCGGCACCACGGCCCTCGCTTGGATATGAAAAACTTCTACACTCAAGACAATCGGTTTGCACAATTTAAAACCGGTAATTTCTGACACTTGACATTAGCAAAATAATTAAGTCTAAAACATCTCTTTCATCCGAAACGTAGGCTATACATTTGTAGTGTTTCTTACTGAAGATTATGGAGACGATGGCAACATTGCCACATATGGTCTGCTAAGAATGAAAATTTCGTGTGCACGTACACGTACAAAACACTTGCACTTTTCCGACTGAGTTGTTGTGAAAAAGATCAGTGGATTTTGACTTAATCTTTATAAAAGGGAAACATGACAGCAGGCTTCAGTGGTGTTCTTCAACTAACTGATCTTGATGATTTCATTACTCCTTCCCAAGTAAGTATGGAAAGATGTCACAATTGTTGAAGGTTAAAATGCAAATGACACATTTGATTAACAATAAGTTGTAAACAAATAATCCAAATACTTATTTAAAAATAGGAATGTATCAAACCAGTTGTCGTGGAAAAAATAAAATCAGTTACTGGTTCAAAAATTAAAATTCAAGACGATGGTTCCTATGTTGCAGTTACTGAGGTATATCGGATACCTACTGTGATAATTATGTTTCTCTCTCATCCTGTACCATGTACTGATCCACAAGATTGGTTGCAGGGAGGACAGGCTCAGAAGCTGCAACGAGTGGACATATCCCTAAATGATTGTCTGGCGTGTAGCGGTTGCATTACATCGGCTGAGAGTGTTCTTATTACTCAACAAAGTCAGGAGGAAATGTTAAAAGTATTTAAAGCTAATGAACAACTCAAGGAGGTCAGTAATCATGCAGATATATATTCAAACTCGCTATACTAAAATATAGCATCTTAGTTTTAATCTGATATTTTAATATCTATTTTAGGCTGGCAAAGAAAGTGAGTTGAAACTCATTGTAGTTTCTGTTGCGGTTCAACCAGTTCTTTCTCTGGCTGTTCGCTATGAGCTTGAACCTCAAGACGCCTTTCGTAGATTATCAGGTAATATTCTGCTTGTGTATCTATCTGAATTGGACACACATCGATGATCATTATCCATGTATACATGGATAATATATTCATGCTTTTCAGTAGATATATGTACAGTCGTACTTTTGTGTATTTATGTACCTCAGGTTACTTTAAAAGTGTCGGAGCAGATATAGTTTTAGACATGACCCTATCTGAAGATCTCTCCCTTCTGGAATGTGAAAATGAATTCATGGAACGCTTTCGATCAAAAAGTGATGGGTCTAAACCACATTTGCCTATGTTAACTTCATCATGTCCAGGTAATAATTACTAAAATACTTTTGTTGATTATTTAATCATACTCTGAATGTTGAATTTCATCCTCTATGTTTATCTGAAGGTTGGGTATGCTATGCAGAAAAGACACATGGATCCTTTGTCCTCCCATACATCAGCACGACTAAATCCCCTCAGCAAATACAAGGGACTTTAGTGAAACAATTTCTACCTACCATTCAAGGTCATCACCCTGGAAAAATTTATCATGTTTCTGTAGAACCATGCTATGATAAGAAACTGGAAGCAAGCCGTAGTGATTTTCACAACGAGGCAGAAGATATTAAAGATGTAGACTGTGTCATAACATCTGGTAAGTTCAGATAATTTATTGCAACACTATAGTTTCCTGCAGATTTTTTTAAAATGGGTGTTTCTTTCTAGTGGAATTGGAACAAATGTTCAAATCACAAGATTTGCGTCTTTCTGAAATTCCTCCTGCTGATGTTGACTTTCCATGGTTAGATGGTCTGAATTGCTCTGAGCAAATTTCATACAAAGGGACTCTTGTTGGTCATCAAGGAACAGGCTCTGGTGGTTATGCTGATCATGTTATGGCATCAGCTGCACAAGAATTGTTTGGAGACAGCAATGCTGAACTGAAGTTTAAAGTGTTAAGGTCAGTAGCATTCTTTTTTCATTTTGGTTTACATTGTGTTGAATCTTACTGTTTAAGAATACTTTCTTCCACTTTCCCATTCAGAAATCCTGACATGAGAGAGGCCACTCTTGAAAAGGATGGTAAGGTGGTTTTGAGATTTGCCATTGCCAATGGATTTCGTAATATCCAGAACTTAATGCAAAAACTGAAAAGAGGAAAATGTGCTTATGACTTTGTGGAAATAATGGCTTGTCCTTCTGGTAAGCTTCTCATTTTTACATAACATGTTTATAAATTAATTACAGAATTGACTTCTGATTAATTTTGTGCTCTTGTGTGAAGGTTGTTTAAATGGGGGAGCACAGGTGAGACCAGAAGAGGGCACACAACAGAAGGAACTAACTTCAACACTTGAAAAATTATATAGTGAACTACCCTTGCATAGCCCAAAATTAAATCCACTGGTTCACGAAATTTACACTAATTGGCTTGGCGGAGCTGGCAGTGACAAATCTAGTGCAAATTTGCACACCAGTTACCATGCAGTAGAGAAGATGAGTACTGCACTTAACATAAAGTGGTAGGATTAATAAATATGTTATATATTTCAATAATTCCATTAATAAAAATACTTTTTTATCACATTAATATTTTCTTATTTTATGATATATCCTAATTTTAAGAGCCTGCATTATGTTTCTCTTTCTGACTTTTTCAAATCAAATGTCATGCTGTTCCCTACTTGGTCAATAACCCAGAGAGTTTCAGCCTTGGGGTAAATATATTGGCTAGGTATGGTAAATTCTTTGTGCGCTGACTCTCTTGAAAATTTCCAATGAAGTATTGACAGCGATTCAGTATCTCTAATCTCAATCACTCCTAAACCATACTCTGATGTAATTTGCCTCCTGAAATAATAAAAAAAAAATTGGAAGAGAAAATTGCGCATTACATTCATGAAAAAAAAAACAGACAACTAGTTTCTAAATTTTGCTTCTTACTTGGCCTTGTTGAAAGTTAAACCTCCAGAATTTTCTTTGGTTGCATTTGGATTGAACCACCTGCATAAAAGAAAATAGTGTTTTAAAACTGATTCTTGCAACATCACAACTTCAAATGTTCCTAGATCAATCTAGGTGGAATTCTTACCTGTGCAATGCTAAAATAGATAGACAACTTGTAGCCCAGAAAGGTGATATATCATTTCTGTCTAAAATAGGACTCAAACAATTAAGAGCTTCACCACTAGTGTCAGGATTTGTGTAGAATGTGTGTGTTGCTCTGTTGCCTTTACTATGTCCAACTTCTTCAGAGATCTGCTGCTTGCCAAATTTCTTGATAACTTTGGGATTCTTGTGTTGTAATAGATCTGTATTTTCACAAGTCAGTTGAGACTTGGGCACACTCCAAACCACTTGCAGTTCTTGAACAAGTGCCTCATATTTTTCTTCTCCCTCAGAACTGATATGCTTGACCTGCTTTGTAGATGATAATAAAGTATCTCTAACCAAATTTAATTTAGAGGGAGCTTTAACACAGGTAAGAGTAGATTCTTCAGGAAGAAGTAAACAATGGATATTGTGGTAGTCAGGACCCATGATTCCATGAGCTGTATGGCCCAAGTCAAAAGTGTGGCCCATTTCGTGGGCCACAGCCCCCAAAGTTGTTGAGTAACAACCACCATATGTGCCTCTGTTAACAAATTTGTGTTCAATTAGTTTCTTTACAGATAAAATAAAACTAAATTAATTTCTATAAAAAGGTTGCCAGAGAAAAAGAAGGTGAACATTAGTGACCTGTAATTGCTTTCATCCATGAAAAGTTTGGTGTCTACCGCTACCTCACTTAGAAGTCTTGGTACCACCTCTTCAATTGATGTAGCCCAGGTATATAAACATCCAGTGCCGACTAAAGCCAAGCCACCTCCTCCGAGGGAAACATAGCCTTTGGTAGATTCCACAATTTCCTCATGGGTTAGGGTATCTTTTCTAATGTGATTTCCATTGTATTGCGTTGATGACAGGAAAGCAATGTACTTCCTTTCTTTGCTACCAAAATGAGATAACATAATTTCTCTACCAAGCCAAGTCCACAGTGTACTTGCCAAAGCACTGTGTGCTTCTTCTACTGATACATCACTGTACAGAATATGGCAATCAGGGGCCATCGGGTCTAGATCAGACTGCAGTTGAAAAGTTAGCCTGCCATATCCAGCCTTCTGTAATCTTTCGGCAAACAGTGACTGTATGAGATGAACTCCAGTGCTAATTCTTTCACAAGCACTCTCTATAGAATTATCTTCACACTCAGGTGCTTGGAAACGGCCATCATGTCCTTTGCATATAACATAAACTGGTATAACACAGAAATTTGTTTGGCGTGGTCTAAAATGTAAAATTATTTCTTTACGAACTGTACAAAAATTTACAATAAATTTATTCATGCCCAACTCCAATTTTAATAGAACCTTGAAAGTCATGTTCTTTGAGATTTTATGAACAGTAATAGGTGGACCACATAATGGGCCATTCATATGTTCTATGGTTACGTCCATTGGTGCCATGCATTCATCATTGGATTTGATTACACCTTCAACCACTACAACAGAATAACAAATTTCTTCTCCAGAACTTAAATTTAAAAGTTTAACGCTATGCACATTATTAGTGCATTTGGAACTTTTACCATCCGTCATATTTTGTTGTTTTGGTAATCCACTTATTATATTTTACTTTTGTTACTGACAGTCTGCCTTTGTGACACAGTCCATTGCAAACGGCATTCGTAATCTAGTTGGTGAACGTAAAAAGTATCGATATATTGTGTATTTTTACATATTTATGAATGACGTCCGCTCGATACTTGTTTTTTCAGTCGGATATTTGAAAACTTGACAAACAGCTAACCTATACACAACAACCAGGCCACTGCAGACGACAAGCAGACTCTCATGTTTACAATTACGAGTAAGGCTAGGAAACAAAATAACATTGTGTTGACGTTAATTTTGATGCCTTTCGCTAAAAATGAGATGTCTCCTGGAAGTGGTTACAAAAATCAAAGTTTATTTTCTCAATACAAGGAAGGTCATTGGATTTTTTGTAAAAGAAAATGTATGTTTTGTTGACATTTTTACAACGTTACACTGTTGGCTAGAATGTATCGATATATTTTCGATGTTTGATGGAAGTTTTGTGACACATCCCTCTCGAGATTTCTGATGTCATTCGGGATTTGGGAGTAAAATGGCGGTTGTGACGGTAAGCAATAACAACAGCTGATAATCTTTTCTAAATTTGATACAATAGTACATCTCTGACACATTTTTCCATCGATTAAGTAAATGTGTTTTATAGTGAGATATTAATTTGCTCCAAGTCCTAACAAATGCTTCCCATACTGCTCACTTGTTTCCCTAACATGCAACAGGCGTTGTCAGATTTTAGTTTTTCATTGTTTTGTTTTTTTCGGAAACCAAACTTGATTATATCTTGGATTTTGTATTTTTACTCTTGATATTCATGCTGTCATTACCATGAAATTAATTCCTATACCAGCTCGTTTTATCCTAATGTAATTTTCCTACAACTAGGCTGGGACATTAGTCATCAGTGTTATGTTATCGTTATCTCCCATTAGTCATTTTTTCCTAATCTTTTCTGTGTTCTGTGTAGTGTCATCTTCATCTAAATTTGGATAGTGTTAAGATGTACCTGAAGAACAAAACTAGAACTGAGAAAGCCCATACATATGTGTAGTAAAATTTGGACCGTAGTTTCTGTGTATGCCAAATGTCTGTCAATGTCAAAGTGTATTTAATTGAACGGTGCACACTGTTAAACTGTTTCAGGTCCAAGCACTCTATGATTTCTCTGGAGAACCAGGCACAGCTGAACTTTCAATTAAAAGTGGAGATGTCCTCACTGTTACTCGGAAAGATGTTGGTGAAGGGTGGTGGGAGGGTAAAACCCCTTCAGGACAGACAGGACTCTTTCCTGCAGCCTATGTTCAAGTTAGTAATTCATTCCTGCTGTGTTAAGTGCTTTTAAGCTCACTAATTTCAATGAAAGTCACATGCAATGTTCATTCTCTAATTGGGGAAAATCTGTCCAAAACAGGAAATAGCCGCTAGTCAGCCTCCAGCAATGCCGCCTCCTCCATTACCTGATACATATAATAATGATGACTGGGGAGACAACCAAACGTCAGCTAACTATGCAAATACTCCTCAGGTCATTATAACTTCATATATAACATTGTTATCTACTGTCAAGGTTGACCTTATCTTCCTTACTTTTATCTGTTGTTTCTAGAACTATGATGCAGGTGATGACTGGGATGATGAGTGGGATGATGATTCTGAAAGTGGTAGTAGACCAGCAATTGGGCATCAAGGGGTTGCTGGTCCCATTTCACAGGTGTCTAAGTCTGGCAGTGCTGGGGATGTAAGCTCAATTGGTATGGACATTTTGAACTTCCACACATGCAGTACAACTTACCGTATTTACTCACGTATAACCCGCCCCCACGTATAACCCGCATCTCGAATTTCGGGTGAAAATGAAGGGGAAAGGTCCCATAAGATCCCTGCAAATCGTGACCCTACGTATAACCTGCACCCCACTTTCGGAGGCTCAAAAATCGGAACATAGTTGCGGGTTATACGCGAGTAAATACGGTACTTTAATTACAATCAAATATATTCCCTTGTTCCTTATTCAATTGAATCTTTTATCAGGCCGTTACAATGAGGGCAAAGGAACAGTGGGAAAGAAAAATTTTAACCGGTTTTCGTCTTTTGTGAAATCTGGTGGTGAGAGTTACATCTTGGGTACTTTGCAAGTTGCTGTTCCTGATGGTTGTAAAGTATGGGTTGTTGATGGACATGAAGGGCCAATATGGAGTCCTAATCCAGAACCCTATTCATGTGTTGTTGCTCAACCAAAAAAGGAAACCAAGCTGAAGGGACTCAAAAGTTTTATTGCTTATCAATTAACTCCATCTGTAAGTAAATCCTTTGGCTTACGGTCTTTGTAATATAAGAAAAAGTATACAATTATTGTTCACTTTATATTCATACCTAGACATGTTTTCCTCCTGCAGTTCAACAACATTCAAGTCTCAAGGCGGTACAAGCACTTTGATTGGCTGCATGAGAGATTGGAGGAAAAGTTTAGCCTCATACCCATTCCACCCCTACCCGATAAACAAATTTCTGGTTTGTTTCATTAACTTTCTTCCTGCTCTGGTATATTTAAACATTTTTTTGGTTTGAATTGTGTTTAAAAATATTTTATTTTATTTTGACAGGCCGGTATGAAGAACAGTTCATAGAACACCGCAAAAACCAGTTGCAATTGTTTGTTGATAGTGTTTGTCGCCATCCAGTTTTGTCAAGGTGTGAAGTATGGCAGCACTTTTTAACCTGCACAGATAAAAATCGCTGGAAACAAGGCAAGCGGAGAGCTGAAAACGATAAGCTTGTAGGGGCAAATTACTTTTTTGCTCTTCAAGCCCCAGAAGCTCCAATTACACTTTACACATTGTATGTTCATAGCTCTGAATATTTATGTATTTGTGAGGACAAATAATTCACACTGTTTACTTAAACCTTCAATATTTCTTTCTTCCAGAGAATTAGAGACGGACAACTGTGCAAAATTTGTCCAAGGGATGGATGGAGCTGTTAAAAATTTATTGGCTACTGCTTATGATCAAAGCAAAAAACACCAGGGACCATATAAAAGAGAATATCAGCGCATTGGACAGGCATTCACCAGTCTGGGACAGTCATTTGAGGAACCTGCATGTAAGTGTATCATGCAACTCTCAATATCCTTAAACTTGGTGTAGGATGTATTTTATGATCATTTTACTATATATCTTCAATTTTTTTTACCAGCAAGTCCAAGGGCTAATCTAAGTGTAGCCATCAAAATGACAGGAGAGGCTTATAATGAGATAGGAAGACTATTTGAAGAACAACCAAAATTAGATTGGGAACCCCTTGGTGATGTGTTGCATCTCTACAGAGGTATCATCGCCTCTTTCCCTGATATTCTTACTGTTCATAAGGTAAGGAATAATGTGTTTTTAATCAAAAGTTATTATGGGTCTTCTAAAATCTTAGAGTTGTAATTTATTTTGTTATATTTCCTAAAACGAATCTTTCTGTACATTTAAAAGGGTGCTCTTCAAAAGAGAAGAGAATGTGAGAAGCTAACAGCAGATCATAAGATGGAACAAACTCAATTGACGGAGGTCACAAGGCGCACTGATGTTGTGTCATACGCTCTGCTTTCTGAAATAAACCATTTCCACAGTGAAAGGGCAGAAGATTTCAAGCAAGGCATGAAGAAGTATTTGAATGAGCAAATCCTATTTTATGAGAAGGTAGGTTATTAAAACTTTCATTCTTTTGATTCCACAAATTAAATTCCAATTTTTCTACATTTCTGTTTTATTTTTTTATTCTTTTATTTCTAGATTGTACTAAAACTAAAGGAAGCAGTTGCAGTGTATGAGGACTGATTTGAAAGTACAGAATGTATTTTTACAACGAATTTCTAGAAATGGAAGGTAATTCTAATCAAAATGTTGTCTGTTTAAAGAAAACCAATTATTTTTTACCTCATTGAGAACTAGTTGCTAGTTTGTTTTGTGCAATGTTTGAAAAGGTTTTATCAGAATCTTAGCGTTTGATGAAATAGTCATGTTTAAAGAATCTTATATTTTTCACTATTTGGTGCCATTCTTTATCACCACTTCATTCCCATTAGAGTATCTGAAAGGTTTGCAATGGAGTGAATTCTCATATTGTTTTTGCTGGATACTGCAATGAAATGCTGATAGTTTTAGTTACAAACCTGTGAACAAATGAAATGAGGGTATTATTGTTATACATTCCACGAAATTTTGGTATCAAATTCTGATTTAATATGCTATTGAGGTAGTTGTAAACGAAGAATGATGAAATGAACTTATATCTGTATGTACCAATCCTAATAGTATAAAAAGTTGATTAAGTCCACCAAGGTTACCATCTTTTATGTCTATGTTGCATGTTTTCAATTTTGCTTTGCTTTCTCAAATTATGCATGAATCAGTTTATGCATCTGCATATACTTACGTGTTTGACTTTCTTCACCTCACTATCATTCTTTTATATTTTAGTCAATCGTACAGTATAATTGATGTACCTATGTATTCTGTTAGCACAGTTACTTCTCATGATTTTGTATTTCCATTCCTGAGACTTACCAACTGATATTTTTAAATCTATGGATTTATTACAGTCAAACCCTGTTATAGCGTTTCTGGATATAGCGTTTACCCTCTTATTACGTCGCGATTTTCTAGAACCAAAATCCAATATTCCATGCAAACTAACTCGTTTATACCGTTTTCCCGCTTATAACGTCGCGATTTTGCTTCCCCGAGGTGCAACGCTATAACGGGATTTGACTGTAATTGTAAGCTTAGGCAGTGATCAACATACTTCAAGTATTTTGTTTTACATAAAGTATTTTACATATGAATTCCAAAAATTTTTCTCCTTTTAAACTGTGAGACTTGATGTTGTGTTTCATTAGAAGAAAAATGTAATGTGAACACTTCTGTACTCTTTTCTCATTACTGTATTTGATGTGCTATGTATATTTTTTGATTTTGAAGGTAAGAAAATGGTGCTATTTTTTTTTTTAAACCAACAAACTTAGCACTTTACTATCAAGTGCTTTGTATTTAAAAGGGATCCATCATGAGTCTTGTATTACCCTTTAATTTTATATGATTTATTACTATTTACTATTGCTTCTGTGTTCATAATTTGATATAGTTTGAACTTAAGATGCTTTATTATTGGACCAAATGTCAACTGTATCTAGGGTATAATTTTCAATGAAATTTTGTGAACCTACCTGATTTTGTTTTACTTTGTTCGTAAAAGGTTTCTGAGTTGGTTAAACGTAGGGTGGGTAGTCAGGATGAGGATACAGAAATTTGGGAATTACACGTTATGTTATGTGGTACGACACTACAGACTCTTGGGAATTGAGTCGTAAGTGCAGTGTTTGGGCTATGTTGTATGCTGTTTCTACATGAACCGTACTGTTTTGCTTTAAAAACATACTTGTCTCGGTGCGTCATGTTTGTGATAATACCTAAATCTCTTTACCAAACAATATGTTTGCTGGTTGCAAACATAATTTTGTAGGCTGTTAATACCTACTTATCAAAGTTAAATTTCTTGAGACTGAGAATAAGACCTCAACTTTAGGACCAAGAATAGCAATAGACTGTGAGTCACTGTATTTAATAGTTATCTTAGCCTCACTGAAGTAGTGTACTTTTTGCTGTGTTCAATTCCATTAGTGTCTTTCTGAAAATAATTCACTCTTTGGTATCATCCTAAACATTTTGCTTTCAACTAGTCCCTGGCTTCTCTGTCAAAACTCAATATTTGAATTCTGCAAATGAGTGTTATTCTTATGTCCCTCATTGGAGTCTTTTGTCTGTTTCATCAATGCTTCTTTATTAATATCACTCACCATTAAGTATTGCAAGTGCTTATTTCATCGTTTAAGGTATGCATGACGTCTTGCAAATCTTTGCTCATTAGGAAACAGCATGTCCCGAATAAGTTGAGATTAAACAACTGTTCTAACCGAAGTGCTGTGAACATTTTGTCAGATACGTGTGTAAATATAATAATGAACTGTATTGGAATTCTCATTATTACTCTGATCTTGAAGTCCTACACTTGAAACATTGAACTTGCAATTTCTCTTCTAACGTTCAATTTTATTCTCATCAAGAATACTCATGAGTACATTTTCTATACACACAGGCAATGTGTTTCTTATTTACTCACTTACTCATTACAACAGGGAGTTTGCACATGCAAAATTTATCACATCACATTTTTAACTTGTCCACATTGAATTAGAAAACAAGCAAACTCAACAAAATATCACTTGCCTGTCACACTTAACACCAGTTTCTTATCTACACTTACACATTTTTCTACCATAACCTTTTTTCCGCAAATTTGCAAGGACTTGAATTTGTGGCACATTTCTGTCTGGTACTGGCATGTAAAGATAACACATGAAATTTTTCCCTGCGCTTAACACAAATATTGTCAAAAAAATTAAACAGAAAAAAGGTAAGGCTATTTTGTTCACATTTGTTAGGGAAAGAATGACCACAGATTAAACATTTTCTTCTCACACACAAAATAACACAAACTACAACTACAACAAACAATGGACTGCCCTTTTGATATGTACAAAAGATAATAATTTTGTCACAATTCACATCAGTCTCTCACAAAAAAAGCACGCATGATTTCTCAAGGTTGAAGGGTTTATTTATTTACTCCAGAAGTTGATCTTGAAAGTTAGTACGAAGTTAGCTTCATCTTCAACTCACAATGGCAAATAAATTAGTACCATTTTTGTATTCAAAAATAAAATGAAGAGAAAGTTAAAAAGAAGCTCAACTTAGAGAAGTTCATGAAAATAAATAAATTGATTTAAAAAACAAGAGTCTTGCCTTAACAAATATGGTACTTAAGAAGAAAGAAAATTGTTCCAAGACATTTCACAAAACAATGCTCATGTAAATTAATTATCACAATGGCAATTTTACAGACTGCACCCTGTCAAATACCTATGCTCAGATACCTCCTCAGAATTGGCAGTTCTTTCACACACCAAACAAGCTTATTTCTAGAAAGCTGCCTTTATTATTACCTCAAAACTAGACTAAAATAAAATTGGCAACTTCATAGCCATTGTAAGGCAGGTTCACGTGCCGCACTCATACCTCACTGACCATTTCATCAGAAGCTGAGCAACACTATAAACGAATCAGTCCAAAAAAATTAACAATAATACTGACACTGCTTTCGTATTTTACACTTACATTAGTTTTCCTCGTGTGGGAAGATTTATAATGGTAAGGATGTTAGTATGAACCCTCGCGCGCTTACATCTATAAATTATAGGATTCATAATTTTTTCTTGGAAGTTAATGACTGTATTAAATACTGAGCTACTGAGTAGTTTAGCTCTTCACTGGTTTTACAGCTCAAGACAAATTTGGCAAATTGCTGATAGATGAAAGAGTAAACATCAATTTGTATACAGGTAAATACTCTCACATCCTATAGTTACATAATGGATTTTTTACCCAAACAAAGCCTCTAAAAATGTTCATTCAATAACTTAAGGTATTAAGTAGGTACTCACTGTCATCCTACGGTTTTTGTACAATGGTTTTTATCCTAAGCTATAGGGACAGGGTGTAATATTTGTTACAACACATCCAGGATCATTTTATAATCCAAAATAATAAATTTGTCAGACAATTAAATAAGGAAGTAGCTGAGGTTGCATGTATGCATTATTAATAAATTAAAGCATTCATTTAAAGTTCAGCAGCAAAAGGGCGAGTAGTATGTCCATTTAGGATTAAAAGGTCTGCGTTTTTCATCACACGGTAGTAAAAGTTGACTGCTTGGTGAAAGTGCTCAACAGATATGCGCTCATTATTGCCATGGTATCTCGGAACATCACTCAACTTCACCATAGTTGGTAAAAAACGGTAAAGATTTGTCGTAAAATTCAAATACCATCTTGTATCAGTGTTAGCAATAAATACAGCTGGAAAATTCAGGAGAAAATGTAGTACAGAAAATTGCAAGACAAATACTACAACTCTATTACTTTCATTTTTATTATACCTGGAACTACAATGGCCTGTCTAAATATTTGACGAATAGATGTTGACACCATTTGGTATTGCACACTGTGAGGCCCATGTGGAGAAACAGGATGTGATTCACGAGATCGTTTTATTTTTAACTGAACTCGTGGGTCAGCAATAATATTCCTTGTGTAATCCACAACTTCATTGACAGTCTGGGCAGGATGAATGCGAAAGTTTACTACAGCAGTGGCTGAAGGAGGTACAATATTTTCCTGTAAGAAAAACAATTATTTTGATCACTTTTTAGGAATATAATAAATGATTTTTCTGTTAATGTTGACTAGTGAAGCCAACCTTCACTCCACCATGAAATAAAGTAATGGCAGTAGTTGTGCGGACAAAAGCATTTGTTATGGGTTGACTTTCCATTTTATACTCCATCATTTTTCCAAAGAACCACAGGTTACTATACACTGTTTTATAGAATGAGGAAACCTATGAAAAATTTGTAAAATTGTAAGTACAGGTAACATTATAGTATTAATAATTATAACAAATTGAACATACATGGGGTGCAATATACTCAAACATGTTTTTCTCTGGGCCATATCCAAACATAGATGGCAATGGATTGTGCTCCAATCGGGCAAGGGCAGCTGCAAGAATTCCAATTGCTGATTCTGCAGGGGGAAAGCTTGAGTGTCCCGGAGTTCCAGTTACGCTCAATTCAACAGTTGCTGTTCCTTTTTCTGAGACACCAACCCTGCATGGGAGTTTGTAAAATACAGCAAATCTTGCAAATAAAATAGTACTAATGTTGTGGTGACATTTATATGCAAACTTACATGGCAACAGGTCGACTTGTTCCTGGAATCAGTTCATCACTCACGGGAAAACCTTCATCAAGCACAAAATCTAATTCTTTGATCCCTCTTTGTTGGAGTAACTTAGCTATTTCCTGAGCTCCACGTTTACCTGATACCTGTTGTTGTGGAGGAATCACAATGTGTCAGGGGCTATCATTGGCAATACTGATCAGTAATTAATTTGAAATATACACTTGCCTCTTCATCATGTCCAAATGCAATAAAAAATGTGCGATGGGGCCTATAGCCCTGTTCAAGAAGATACTCTAAAGCTTCCAGTATGCCCTACATCAGAAAAGGGAAAAAATAAAGAATGTTCTATAGCTTGCCCTAGAAAAACAGTTAATTCAAAAATAGAACTTCTCAGAAAAGGAAAGATACTTACAAGTACGCCACCCTTGTCATCTATAGCTCCACGTCCATAGATGTAAGTATTGTTGGCAATAAATCCTCCAAAAGGAGGATGTGCCCATCCTTTTTCATTAACAGGCACTACATCCAAATGAGATGCCAATAAATACGGTATATTGCCTGATTTTGTTCCATGCACAGTGTACAAGAGACTTAATTCATTTACTATTTCTCGTTTGACAGCAGGATGCGAATGGATTATAGGAAAACCTGGGAGCAAACACAAAAATATAAGCAAATTCAGATAGTTTTTATCTTCTTTGCATATCTTTAAATACATACTCTTTTGTAGATAGTCGTGAAGAGTGTGAAATGCCTGAGTTTCTTGTTGATCAGTTTTATATGAAATAGTTGGAATCTTTAATGCACCTGCTAATCTTTCGGCTCGTTCCATACTCCGAGCTTCATCTACCAGATCCTTTGTTTCCTCTGGACGTGCTCCTAGTTCAACATCCAAACGGTGTTGAATGAGAATGGCTCGGAAGAAAAGTATAAAGAGAAGTGCAAATATGAAGACGGCAAATGCGCAACAAAGGAGTTGGACAGCACTGTGAAGAAGACAGCGACAGCGCCTTGGAATGCCACGTCTCATCCATGGAAACATGACTGTCATGTCTGAGAAAACCTGTCAATGAAAAGGTGAATCACAAAAAGTAATATTTTGACAACCAGATAACTCTAATTATTTTCTAAACCTACATTTTCAGGATTTAAGTTTTCAAAGCAAGGAACTTGCCATCATGATGGGTCAAAACTGTCATGCGGGTAGTCTACTACAGGGGCCAGGGCTTGGTTGAGGCCCCACACCCCCACACCCTGACTTGTACGGCTTAACCTCACCATCGTTCAGTTGAAGGAGAATTACGATAGTCGTATACATCGGACTTTGAACTCGTCATTCTCCATGGAAGAATTAATAGTGGTGAAAAGCCAGTTTCTCGTATTGACAATATTAGCCGAAAGGTACAAAGCTAAACAACGAAAAGCCTCCACAACAACAAACAAGCAGACGACACTGGTACAGGCACGACAGGCGCTACCACTTCACGAAGCTCAGTCTAGCGCGTTTCTCGGAGGATGTGCTGTGGCCAAACTCAGACACAGGGCGTGTACAGGTCACCCCCCGTTCCACGTACCTTACAACCACGGTTCGACTGCAGTTTCCGCGCACCCCGTACTGACACTTGACATTTCGTTTTAGATATTTCCGACCATGGCGTTTTCCAGCAAGAAGGACTGGATCGCTGGAGCAGAGGGTGGTTGCTAGTAGGTGGGAGCGGTGGAGCAGGGGGAGGAAAGGGAGG